AAGTTATGGAAGAACACCCCATGTTCTAATCACTCATAAACCTCAGAATTAGTTAGGGAACTACTTGCTTTTATAAAAAAAACTTTGCTTGATTTATCCTATGTTTTGTACTGTTTCACTCCCATTTGCTTCCTTTGATATTTTTACTTTCGTTGCAATTTTGAATTAGAGAAAATTGCAAGGAAATGATCAAGCAAAATTCTTCTAAATTCCTATTCAATGACAACTTCTTTCGCAAAGCTTAGACAACAATTTAGAGATGGTACCAGCATGAGTAGATGTAGTCTTTTACCAATCGTGATTAGTGTTACCAGATAGGTGCCATATTGTTTTTGTTTAGAGCTATTTTTTATTTGCAAAAAAATATTACGCTGTTTCATGCCATAATCTAAGGAACTGCTAAGAATGTCACTCAGTTTTTCTCAAATTATTTCGTTTCCCAAGTGATTTTTGTGATAAAAGAGCCTTATCTTAAATATAAATGAATATGTTGGTTTTTAAGGAATAACTCACGATTGAAAATAAGCAGAAGATATGCATTAGAGTAGGATTAACGAATATTCGCTCAACAAGACGAGGCCAATGTCCCATAATTGGCCCCGAAATGAGCATAGCTAATAGCGACAACATGGGAAATGATCCGAACATTAGCCATCGAACGATGAAATGAATAATCTGCAAAATTTGAATGGATTATATGTCACTCTAAGCAATTTTAGTAAATACCACTGACATCTGCTGTGTCAGGATCCGCAAAGTTCTCTAGTTCTGGATTAGGCGGACATGTCATAATAAATGAGAGCGTTCGACATCGGATCAGTTCATCTTCTACCGGCGTTATCCTTCTGTGAATGATCATGTGGATGCATGTGATTATGGTAACTATCTGAAAAAGAATGTTTCCGCCAGTGCGTTCTACAAGTTTTACCCAAAATTTAGGGCTACTAAACAATTTTTATGCGTGAAAACTTCTCGTTTTAGGAGGGAAAGAGGCAAGTTTTTCTCAGCCACGATATTTAAGGAGGAAGTATGAGGCCCAGTATGAGATATTTGTTTCGAGCTGGAAACAAATATTGTGGAAAATTCATAGTGTGAGGAAAATGAACTATAGCAACTTAAATCGCATAGGTCAGAAGAAATTAAGGGGGATGGTGATTTAAGATACTTAGTACTGCGTTGCGTTGGTATCTGCACTACTACAATAAGACATACCCGAACAAACAGCTTGGAACATGGATGTCTTCGATCTCTATCAATTTCTGAGAGATTT